GGGAGTCCGATCAGGCTGGTTCTTGCCTCCCCTCATGTTGTTCCTCCCCTGGAGCATCTCCCATGAGCCCTGTCATCTTCCAATGCCATCCTTCATAGGACCTGGGGGCCCTGCCCCGTGTTCAGCAACCTGCTCGGAGGGAGCTTTCCATCATGGCCAGGCCTTCCTGGTGCTCAGTACGTGTGGCCTTGGGCTGTGTCATTGGGGCATTTTCTTTGTCTCCAGCTGGTCTGAGTTCCCTGTGGGTAAGAACTAAGCCCTCTTCACCCTCTTTATCTGCAGCGCCCACACCAGCTTCGGGGACGCTTGCTGATCTGTGGCTGTGCTGTCCCCAGGAAGACACTGGCCACACTTGAGACAAAAAGCCCTGGAGACCAAGGACAGGGGTTTGAGGGAGGGGGTGGGACAACTGTGTCTTCAGAGAATATTTTAAAACTTGGTACAATAGTCCCCACTTACACAGAGTTTCAGTTCCAAGGTCAACTGTCCTCTGAAAATATTAAATGGAAAATGCCAGAAATAGACAATTGTTGTGTCACCTGAAAATCAGCCAGTTTTAAACTGTGTGCCATTCTGAGTAGCATGATGAAATCTCTTACTGTCCCTCTCCATCCTGTCCAGAATGTGACTTGTCCTTTTGTACAGGGTATCCACGCTGTGTCCGCTATCTGCCCGTTAGTCACTTGGAAGCCATCCTGGGTATCAGATCCACTGTTGTGGTATCGCAGTGCTTGTGTTTGATGAATTCTTATCTTACTTAATAATGGCCCCAAAGCACGAGAGTAGTGATGCTGGCAATTCAGATATGCCAAAGAGAAGCTGTAAAGTTTTTCTTTTAAGGGAAAAGGCGTGTGTGTGTGTGTGTGTGTGTGTGTGTGTGTGTGTGTGTGTGTAGGAAAAAAACATAGTATATATCGGGTTCAATACTATCCATGGTTTCAGGCATCCACTGGGGGTCTTGGAACGTATCTTCCATCGATAAAGGGAAACTATTGTAGGTCTCAAGACACCTCTCAGGCAGAAAAGGAGCAGCCCAGCCCCAACCTCAGAAAAGAGGACTGGAATGATTCAGAATCAACAGTTTTCAAGCTGGGATTTAAAAATTGACTTCTTTTGGAAAGTTTTCATCTGCCCACGAACCCATGTGCGCGCATGTGTGTGTGCATGTGCTTTGCGTGTGCCTGTTTTACAAGACAGGGCTGTCCCAGGCAGATCTTCAAATCCTGTTTCTTCCCATTATGTATCTGGTAAGAAAATAATCAGTAAAGAGAGAGACATGATTTTTCCTTCCCCCATGTTACGACGTGGGCAAGGCCTGGAGCAGCCTTCCTGGTGGTGGCTGGCGAGGCCTCCTGCTCTGCACCCCCCGGCTCTCAAGCTCCAGGGGAAGCTGAGCCCCCCAGTACAGCCTGGGTGCCCTGGGACCGGTGTCGTGAGACAATGCACCCCACAGAAGCCTTCCTGCCATCCATCCCATGGCCGGTGTTGTTTGAGACATGCCCTCTGTGTCTACCGGTAATATTTCCTAAGCAGACTCAGGTCGATTTCTTCTTTTTAGGAACTTTGTTCTTCTTGAGTGAGCCTGAGAAAGTGTTTTCATGCTCAGAGCTTGAAGGGAGCCTGATAAAGTGTGGCCATGCTCAGATCTTGAAGGGAGCGGAGGTGGAGGAGCCACACAGCTGCTGCCGCCCTGCCAGTGGGACCAGCACCTCCTCTTTCTCCTGAAAGAACACATCTTTGGATTTTTACACTAGAGAAGAATAAATGCGTTTACACCCCTACCTCTTAAAATCACCCCTAGGGCTTGAACAGGCAAGCTGTCTATCCCTTTTACTGTTCCATGTCTGCAGCTGACTGGCAACCTCATAAAAGGCCACCTGCTGGCTTGAACCCCCCAGGAGGCCAGACTGCTAAGTGCCCCAGCAAACGACTATTAGTCACCACTGTCCTCCAGCTGACTCAGGGTCCCGTTGCTCTGGGGAAAGTGCCATGAGGTGCCTCCAGCTGGGAGGGCCCGTGCTATCATTCAAGGCTCAGGTCCACCTAAGGACTAGGGTGTTTCAGGACCCACCCCCACTTCCGTCACACCATGGCTTCGCTTGGCATGTTTAGAAACATCCTGGCATGGCAAACGCGGCCTAACATAAGGTATAAACCTACACGCTTTATAATTTAGAAGCCACATTAGTGCCAAGTATGACAGGCAGTACTTTCCCCCACAGGGTCACGGCCGACCCCCGGCCCTGGGAGGTGCTGTGGTTCCTTGATTCAGACCGAGGCTGGGCTCAGACCCACGCTATGAACCCGACACTTCCCGGGCTGGTCCTCCCGAGGCCATGGTGCTCTCCACAGGCCCGATGGCTTCTCAGGCCCACAGGGTTCCCAAGGTCCCGGTCGGTCCTCACCCCCTTCATCCTGCCCCCAGCAGAACTTCGCGTTGGCCACCCATAGGGGGTGCCCAGCCCTCAAACTGGCCTCCCCGGAGCCCCAGGCTGGTTGTGTCGCCTGAAAACCTCAGTGTGTAGCGCTCGCAACCTTGGCCTTCAGGGTGTTTGGCCAGGGCAGTGGGGGGCGGGGGTAGGCTGCTGGGCGCTGGGCTGTGGCCCCTACCTAGCTCCTTGCACAGTTTCTGGATGCAGTTCGGAGGGTCCCCCTTCTGGTGTAAACCGCCCATGCTCCTGCTCCTCTGGAATTCAACTGCCTCGCTGGTCCCCTTGAGGTGGCCGGCGGCCACCCCCGAAGGCGGAGCCACAGTGCCCGGCCGGTGCCTCCTGTGCCCAGTGGTGGCATCTTTCTCCATTCTCTACCCTCAGGGCTCGGGAAAGAAGAGGGACCCGGCTCTCGAGCACGGCCTCAGACGAGGGGCATGGCTTCCAACCTCTCCCAAGGTGAGCAGCCCAAGAGTGTGCCCAATAGGCTCCCGTTGCTAAGTGTCCCCTGTGACATCACCTATGTCAGAGGTCAGAGGTCATCCAGAGCAGTCCTGCACTCAGGCTGCTGGGCTCCCCTCCTTCCAGGCCTGACTGGCCTGTCCATCAGAGAAACAGAGGAAGAGGGGCCAGGCAGGCTGAGGGGACAAAGGTTGGCACAGACCAAACATGACCAAACAGATGAAGGACTTGGAAGTGGCGGTGGGTGCTGCGGGCACTTCGCTGACGGTTAGGTGGTCTTTCTCTGTTCCCTCCATAACGAAGGGATTCTCTGGGCTTCAGAAGGCAGGGCTGTCTGGGGACAGGCAGGTTTGAACTGCACTGACAAAAACCCATTTAAATCTGCATTTTCAGTCTGTATTAGTTTGCTGGCACTGTCGTAACAAATACCACAGCCTGGGTGGCTTCAACAGTTTCTTTCCGGATTTGGAGGCCTCTCTTCTTTGTATGTGCAAGGCTGTCTTCCTGTGTCCTCGCATGGTCATCCCTTTGTGTGTGTCTGTGTCCGAATCTCCTCTTCTTATTAGGACACCAGTCACACTGATGACTTCACGTGATCTTAACTGCCTTTTTAAAGACCCGATCTCTAAATACAGTCAGTCTGTGGTACTGAGGTCCCCATGTCCCCCAGCGTAGCCACATGAGTTTTGGGGGACACAAGTCAGCCCATAACACAGCCTAAAAGAAAATTTCTGATATCCTACTTGAGCACAGTTTTTCCCCTCCAATTATCCAAGACTTTGGGAGACAAATCACAGTAGGTGCTTTTCCTGAGCAACTAACTGGCTGATTGCACTTGGAGAGTCATGAATACTCAGAATGAAGCAAAAGTGGCTCCCTATTCCACCTGCACTTCCATCCCCTCAAATTGCTTATAGCATCTTGGCTCACAGGAGCCTCAGGTTACTGAACCAAATGGCCAGTGCAGGGACAGACGGGGTGCCCACCTACTGAGATGTTCCTCAGAGGCACCTGCTCCAAGCCTAAAGGCTCTTGGAGAGTACAACCAATGAGAGTCACAACAGTGGGACGCTTAGGGACAGCTCTTTTCTTCAGGTAACAGGTTTTCTAGAGAAAGAGCAGGTGAAAACAGAAAGCCAACTGTGACCTATCACTGGGGGGTCCTGAGAGGGGGGCTTCTATTCCCATGTTCCCCAGCGTCTCTTCCTTTCATCCTGCCCACATCCTGGGCCTGGATGGGAATCTGAGTCACCCCGGCCCCCTGGAGCCGTCCTGTGGTCCTGCTGTGGATGCTCATGTCTGGGCTGATGCCCATGGTCTCTCACCTCATAGGCACCCTTGCAGCCCCCACCCAGCCCTCAGCTGCCCCTGCCCAGAGCAGGCCGGAGGGGCCAGAGAGAAGCATCGACAGCAGTTCCCTCCCGAAGCCCATGCCCCCAGGGAAGGAGGCTGACCACCATCGTCCTGAGTCCTGTGGCTGCAGCACCCCCAGAAATGTCCAATTCTTCTCAGAACAGCTGACCCAGGTTGGAATTTTAAAAACGACCAAATGAAAATCAAGTGGAGAAAAGAAGGAATAAGGAAATGAGAATATGCATGGGGTCTCACCCTAGAGCCCCTGTTGTGCATCTGGCTCCTCCCTCTCCCACCTTCCCCTCCGGGAGGGACAACCACTTCTCAAAGGCACCGAAGGCCTGTCCCCCTCCTGCTGCTTGTCTCTGGGGAGGCTAGCCTGTCTGGTCCTCAGGCGCGCAGCCCACTGCTGTGTTTTCAGGCAGTAACACAAGCCTATCTTTCCCACCTTCCTTGAGCTGGGCCCCCATCTCCACCCACATTGGGGGTTCCCAGCAGAACACCTTCCGATGGCCCTCACAGTGCCAACCACACACCTTTCTATCTGAGAGCGTCATGGGCCCCAGCTCAATCCAAAGCCCCACTACTGGACCTCTCAGAGGCACCTTACCTGTCACCAGGGGGGAACCTCACCTGTCATCAGGGGGACCTCGCCTGTCATCGCAGGTACATCATCCAGCTCCCCACCTGCCTGGCTCCACCACACACACGTGCAATTATCAGTGTGCACTGCTGGGAAACCAAGCCAGTCCACAGAAAGAATAAAACGTCTGTTTTAATTGGCCAGTAAAATACATCACAAATCATTAGTATCTTATAAACAGAACCATTAAGTTACAAATCCATGTTAAAAATTGCAGTCCGGTGCAGCCTAATAGCCGTGTGTCCCAAAGTTTATTTTTTACATCATATTCTCCGCCATTTTTGTGACAACTTATGTTACTATCTGCCATCTAGATTGAGTCTGAAGGACAGTACTTGCAAATAAGAACAGAGATGGGCACAAGGGCACATGGTCCTGTGTGTTTGAACAGTGCTTTCCAAAGCCGGTGCCTGCAGCTATGAGGACTGTCTGGGAAGAGTCAGCAAACAGCTCCCGTGGGGCGTCAGGAACCCCCCACTCCAACAGAAAGCAGCCCTCGCTGCGCCTCTAAGGGCTTCATAGAAACACAGTGCAATACCACTCCCGGGGGCCAGGGGGCGTCTGCACAGCCAAGCGCCTTCCATTTCAAGTTCAGGATTTCTTCCCTTGCTCCGTTTTCTTTGGAGGACCTGTAACTAGCTTCCATGAGATGCAACACATTCCCTTTTTTGCCATGGCACCCTCCCCTTTAATAAGTCCAGGTTTGGATGTTCTGAGTTATTTCATATCAAAGAGCTAATTAAAAATGTTAAGAAAAACAGCCTGAAAATATCGCGCATTTCTATTTTTAAAATCTTCCCCAAACTTCCACAAGGGGTGGAAAATGTGGATTCTGCTTTTAAGCCCCACTGACTGCACAACAACACAACTTGTGCCTGAAGTGGGGCCTGGGTGGACACCCAGCTCAGCCTGTCAGCATCGAGGGGTGTCTGCAGGCTGTGGGCGCATCTCAGCAGACAGCAGGGTGAGGCTTTAACCTCCAGGAGAAAAGTCTAGAACTCCCTCCCTCCCCAGGAACTCTCTGCAGAAGAACCCTGTACCCCCCAAAATATCAAGAGCATCCTCAAATTGGGATCTCCATGCAGGTCTTCACATCCTCACCATAAAACTGACCCTCTAGCCAGGAACACCACCAATATCAAAAGCTGAAACCAGGAAGCCACCTGCCCGTGGGCGTGGGGACAGCAGGCTCACAGGGAAAGAATAATGCTCTGAAAGCCCCGCTGTGCTGAAGCAGAGGCTCCCCGTGCAGGCACTGCAGAGACCAGCAGAGGGAGCAGCGCTCACAAGACAGAAGCACTCTCTCTGCAGTGGGCGAGGCGACGCTGGCACCTGGTCCAGAAAGGCCAGCTCAGGGCACCTGCCCACCGGCATGAATAAAGTGCATGGCAACCACAGAAATGGCCCTGGAGAGTCTCAGGAGTTCCATGAGCTTGACACTTGTCATCTATGCGAGCAGAGGAAGTGTGGGTCCCTTTGCTTCCTCGCTCTGCCTTCTTGTCTGTCTCCCTCCTTCGCAAAGACTGTGGCCTTCCTGGTGCAGCTCACAGCGCTGTGCTGGATGTCCTCCAGGCTTTAAATGGAATGGGTGGAGACCTCTGACTGCTGCCTGATGTAGCTTTGAAAACTCTTATCTCCAATGGGGTGTTCCCTGCAAAGGGGAGATGGGGGAGAGGAGAAAATGAGGAACAGCCCCTCCATTGCCAGTGCTCATCTGCGCTTCTTAAGAGTCTTTTTCTATGTATGTGATGTGATTCTTTGTAATAAATATGAAAATATAGACAAGCAAAGGAAGAAAGAATTAGCCCAAAGCTGCCTGTGGAGACACCCACTGTGACCCTGGACACAGTGAGTAGGTCATGTGCACACATGTGATCATGTGTATAGAGCATTTGCACAGACCTTGTGCATTGCACCCACACGTGTGGAAGCCCTGTGCTTGACGAGGGCACGGTGCCATCTGCTGAATGCCTGGTCCCCAGGGGTCACAGGCGCTCAGTCCTGTGAGCTGCCCGAGTGCTTACATAGCTGCTACCACAGGAAGTAGGACTGAGCTTCAGGTTTTCAACCTGATTTACCATGTTTAATCAGCGATGACATTTTTAGAAGGTCACCACAGGCTCTCTCGACAGAGGGGTATTAAAGGGAATCTGGAATATGCTTTGACTCTTTATGGAGCCAGGACAGACACTTCCAGGAGCAAAGACAAATCAATGTTACCTGAGAGGTTCTCGCTGGGTGCTTGGCACATGTGAGCAACCTGGTCAAAGTTTTCTCTCTCCCAGAGCCCCTTCACTTCCTTTCCCAGAGCAAACCCACACCCTACCAGGAAGGGAGGGAGGAGGAGGACTCCTTGTTATGCGGAGCTGCCCTGTCAGAGGCTGTGTGGGTGGTGGTCTCCGCCATTGTGGTCCATAGGAATACCCGTTGGACAGGGAAAGTCTGGCAGAGATGCTAACAAGGGTAGCCTCTAAGGACTGTTCTAGTACTTTGTGCAATTTAACCCAAGTTCCAGCAGTTCCTGAGGCTCTCTTACCCTCCATTCTTAGAGAGGCAGGAGGCAAGCAGCTTGGTTGAACTGCCTGTGGGCGCAAGGCCAGCAGGAGGTGGAAGGGACGTGGGCAGCCTGGCTGAGTCTGTAATCTATTTACCCCCACCCCTCCCGTACAAGACACAAATGGGGGCCAGTCCAGAGCTGGCCTCAAGAGAGAGGGAGAAAGTGCAGAACTTGCTGGGGGCAGGGATGCTGGCCTAGGAAAGCCTAATTTTGAAAGTGAATGAACTGGGGAGGCAGGAGAGCAAAGGGACAGCAGCAGAGTCAGGAAGCAGGAGGGGAAGAGGGAGGTGCTGCTCCCAGGTCACTGCCCAGAGCACTCTGGAGAGTAAAATGAGGCCTGCTCTGAGGGACCCAGGAAGCCTGCGCAGCCCCCACACCAACACAGGTGGCTCTAGGGAAGGGCCAGCACCCTCCTCCCCACGGCAGCTCCTTGCAGTCTCTTCCCCAGCTCCCCACACCCGTGCTGAGACTTCCCAAGCAACTGGGCACCATACTCACTGGCTCCCATACTTGGTCTTCTTGAACTTGTCCCTTTTATACTGGGCGTGCTCCTGCTCCAAGGTCCCGACCCTGGCGATGACCTGCTTCAGTGTCTTGTAGGTCTCTTGGGGGTCGTCGATGATGAACGTTGAGTATTCCTCTTGCTCAGGGCCGTCGTACACAGATCTGCTCCCACAGGCCTCTGCGGGGTTTGGGGACAGGGCGGTCAGTGCGAGGGGAAGACCCAGACAGGCAGCTTCCTGGATTCCTCAGAAGCAGCCTCCTTAGGAAAAGGCTGCCCATTCACAGGTAAATGCCCAGAAATAGAAGCCATTCCCACCAGTCTGACCACCCCTGAGCACTGGGAAAGCCAGTGGGACCAGAAAGCCAGGGCCCGGGACAGAGGTCTCTGAGGGTTCAATGCCCCAAATGCCAAGGCCCAAGGCCCCTCTCTGACCAGCCCTGCTCCTGGGTGGCCTGTGCCCATCCACACACCACTGGCTCCTGAAGCCAGAAACAGCAGACATCTGTCTGCTCCTGGACATTGGGCCAGGCTGGCTTGAAGGCCTGTGGGATCATACACGGTCAGCCTGGGGAGATGAGCTCCAGGACGTTACCTCTTGGCCCGTCTGTGCGAGCAGTTTCCTAAGACCTCCATCACCCCCACCTGCTCAGCAGGTAACTTTTTCATCCAGCACCTCACTCCTGCTGAAGGCCACGCTGCACGTAGCTGTTACTCATCCACAGGAAACATCCACATACCTAAACTGGAGCAGCCTCCTCTCCTGTCCCCAAACACCCGGTCCAGGCCCCTCCCATCTGTCCCCAGACACCTATGCTGGACCCTATGTTCCAGGGCCACAGAGAGACCAGGTGGGAAGACATGCGCTTTGCAGGGTGTCTGGCCTAGGTGAGCGAGCATCAGGAGGGCTCCTCGCCTCACTGTATTCTGTTCATTACCACAGAAAGCTCTGGTGTCCACTTTACTGTCTTTATGATTCTCAGGGGAAATCTCTCAATTCTAAGAAAAATCACAAGTCTGTGCAAAGAAAAACTGAAAAGATGTAAAATTTCAAAGAAAAAGGGAGTGTGACAGAAAGATAAGGGGGCCTAAACATGAAGAGGAGGGAGGAGCCCAGGAGTCCCCAGGGCACCGTGAGGGAGCTCAGTCTTTTCCCCTTTTACGTGAGGCAGAGGGTTAGGTCTCTGGAGCCAGAGTGTCTGCATTTCCTCCCCAAAGACACTGCCTGTAACTGCTCCACTTTGGGCAAGTTACTTAAGCTCCAGAGCCTCAGTTAACCCTTCTGGGAAGTGAGGACACTGGCCCCCCAAGTCTCCTGGCCCAGGTCTAGCAGAAGTATGAGCTGTGGTTGCTGCTGTCATAAAGATAGAGGGAGAAGACAGGTGCAAAAAAACATCACAGCCACCATGGATGCATCAAGAGAGCTAAGACTTGAATAAGCAAGTGTTTATGAAGCTTGTTAAAGAAACAGAAACAAACAGATATCTCTCATTGCCAGGACAGGTGTCTGCAGCTTTCTACAGCTTAGATGCAGAGGAGGATCCACTGAAGGCCCAGCAGGAGGGACGAACGACGGCGATGGTAATAAGGATGACACAGGTGGCCGAGACCCAGCCCCTCTCAGCGCTGGGCGCTGTGCTCATTGTTTCACGGAGTTTATTTCAGCCAATCCTCAGATTAACTCAATGGGTTGGTGGCATTGCTGCCCCATTTCACAGGAGAGGAAACGGGGCTTGCCTGGTGCATGACGTGCCAAAGCTGGCTCTGAATCGAAGCCTCTAAATCCTGGAAATATTCCATCCCAGGGCACCAAAGAGTGTGGTCTGTGAGGGTGAGAGCCGGGGAGTGACCTGGGAGAGGCCCAGGCCCTGGAGGAGATCCGAGGACTAAGGGTAGGCGAGTGGTTTTAACTGCTGAGACCCTGAAAAAAGAGGGTATCTGCATATATGCATAACCCGTGGACACAGACAATAGTGTGGTGAAGGCCTGGGGGGTGCAGGGGGGAGGAGATCAATAGGGGGGGAAAGAGGGACATCTGTAATATTTTCAACAATAAAGTTAATTTAATAAATAAATAATTTTTTTAAAAAAGAAATCCATAAGCCACATATCAGATGTAAAATTCTTGAATGGATCAGTAAACGGATTGTGAAATAAGTTCAGGGAGGCAAATATAAAACATCAACTAGAAGGGATCATGATAAGCACACTGCACTTCCTCTTTAAAATGGTTTATAAAACCAGGACTTAGGGAAATGCCAAGAGTATGTGCATGCTGATTTCAGCAAGGCAACTGATACCCTTTTATAAAGCAGCCCAGGAACCAGATGCAGTGCTAGATGATGGGACAGTTAACCGGGTGGTTTACGCTGACCATCCACGGTCCCAAGTACAAAGCTGTCTCCCAAACAGATGCCTAACCTGTGGAAAGCTATAAAGGATAACACCACACGTAGAGCATGGAGGCTCAGAGGGGTTCACAGGCATATCTTGGAGATACTGCGTGTTCAGTTCTAGACCACTGCAATAAAGCGAATGTTGCAATAAAATGAGTCACACTAATTTTTTGGTTTCCCAGTGCATATAAAAGTTATGTTTCACTATACTGTTGTCTAATAAGCATGCAATACCATTATGTCTAGAAAAAGCAATGTACATACCTTAATTAAAATTATTTTATTACTAAAAAATGCTAACTATTATGTGTGCTTTCGGCACATGCTAATCTTTTGCTGGTGGAGGGCCTTCCCTGATGTTGATGAAACGTAGTCTCTGGGAGTTGCAATAAAGCGAAGCACAGTAAGATGAGTTCTGCCCATACTTTCCCAAGTCATCGCTGCAGGAAGCTCCATGTGTCGCTAGGACCAGAGTCAGGTGTCCTCAAAGCTGCTGTGATTGATGTGACAGAGAAGGGACCCTATCCTGTCCTTACCTTGCATCTTCTCCAGTTTGCTCATGTACAAGTTGAACAGGGAGTAGATACGCTCCGTCTCTCGGTCCCCATCGATGTCCAGCTGGATGTTTGCTGGGAGGCCACTGCCCGAACACAATGAGAAGAACAGAAAGCACAATGCTTTTAATCATGATATTGATTTTTTTAAGGATCACTAAAGACGTTGGAGTGATCCAACTTTGAACTTCTCCCCGATGGGGCTGGGGCATTTGTGTGTGGTTTGTGAAATAATTCACGAGCACGGAAAAGTGACCATCCACAGTCTGGGAGGCCTGGAAGTCTCCCGGCACCCACAGACCTGCCAGGACAGCACGCACACAAGGCAGATTTATGTTGCTGTGAAAAGAAACGACCCAGAATAAAAAAAGCCCTGACAGATGCACGTGGGTCATGTGCCCTGACAGGTCAGTTGGCTGCCCCAGGTAGGGACAAGCCGGTCCCCTCTCCTTCCTTAGGCTATTGAGGGCTCCTGCTCCTGCCTGAGGTACAGCAACAGCCCCTCCCCCAGACACAGCATCTAGACTCTCTAGGGAGACAGGATAAGGGCTCGGTCACAGACTCCTGGGCGGGACCCAGCAGGGACTTATCCCCAGTCTTAGCTGCTTTGTCTATGAAGCTACATTTCCTATTCCCGCCTCCAAGAGAGCTTTGGGGGGATTCGTCACATCCACAATCACAACAAACAGTTGTCACTTTTCTCACAAGTCACATGGGGCCCAGGGACCGGCCAAGCTTGAGTCACCAGGCCTCCTTCCAGGACGATGGAGGTGAGCCTCTAATGACCTTCAGGAGGCCCAGCCAATGATGGGGCTGGAAAAGAAGGGCTGCCTCGGTTTCCAAAGGAGGGGAGGTGTCAATTGGAGAAATCAAAGGGGGTCGAATCAGGAAGATGGAATACTTCCACACTCGTCTTGGAAAAAACAAGACAGCAAAACCAGCCCCTAAGGGTATTCCCTCTGCATGGGGCCCCCTCTTTCATTGCCCACCCACTCCCCAAGGATGGTTCTGACCCCTAGTAGGGAAAGGAGAATCCATGAAGGCTCAGAGCTCCTGCCAGTCTACACAGAGTCTTCATGAGGATGAGCCAAGGGATGCCCTCGGGTGGAGGCTCCTGGACCATGTAGAGAACAGCCTGCGTGTGTACAGTTTGCCAGGTTGGTGGGGACTGAATTTTAGCCCCAACTTGACCCCTTGACCAAACTTCCCTGAAGGGTGCACAAGCCGGATAACTGTGCTTGGCTACACTGGGCAGCTGGGAGGGTCCAGGAGGCTGGGAAGGCGCAGACCTACCCAGTGCAGGGGGAGCAGCCGGGGGCCGTGTCCGAGGAGGCCCTGCAGCACAGCCAGTGACCATTGAGGTAGGCGGAGGGGTGGTAGACAGTAAGGCGCTTCTTATTGCACTGGCTCACTTTGGTGAGGATGTCAATCCAGGCCTTGGCCTCCACACAGTTGTTGGCCTGGATGTACAGCGCTCGCTCAGGCTGGATAACCTGGAACATCTGAGGAGAGAGAATGGGCTCCAGGGACCGCCCCGCAGGAACCACAGGGGTCATTATCTTCAATGCCTACAAGCTCAGGGACTACAGTGGGTGCCAAGGGCTTTCTACTGGCACTGAACCTGAAAACAGAAGCCAAAGCCCTCCCCCTGGGGGACACAGGAGCAGCGGGAGCCATGGCAGACGAAGGAGGCCAATGTGACTCAGCTGGTGACCCATGGTCAGCCTGGCCAGGCACTTCCTTTCCTGGGGTGTCGGGGTCTCCATTCAAAAAGCAAGAGTAGCACTGCTTATCTCGCCCATGGGCCTCCTAAAGCGCATCAATGGACTGGTTTCTTTGGATCCCTTATGTTTTAAGATGGAGTGGGCTTCCATGCAAGGTACATCAGGGCTCACCCGGCCCACCCTCCTGCCCTCATCTCCAGATCTGCCTCCATCTGAAAGGCCTCTCCCTCCCCAACTAATCACCCTGAGGACTCTCCTTCCTTATTTCAGGCAGGTGTTACTTCCTCCAGGAGGTTTCTTAGAGCCGCCACTGCCTTTCCTATTCATTACCCACTCAGCGAACATTCCTGAGTACCAGGTACTGTCCTAGGTCCTGCGGACACAGTGTGGGCATAGTTTCTTCCAGCCAGCAAGATAAAGTGAATGCCAAGCGCAGGGGGCTGAGGGTGCAGCCCAATGGGGGTCAGGTTAGTATAGAATGCTCAGAATAGACGATCCTCCAGCCCAGATCAGAGCATGATGAAGAGTTAATTAGGCTGAGTGGGAAAAGCAGGAAGGACAGTGTCCCGGGCAGCAGCACAGCAGGTGCACAGGTCCTGGGGCAGCAGAGACAATAGGTGCAAAGGTTCTAGCACAACAGGCAGGGTCGGGTGCTCCCAGCAGGAGCAGGCCAGCTGCACACAGAAGGTGGGGTTTCCAGGGGAGGTGGGCAGGCAGAGCTCTGGCAGGTTCTCACACTGGACTTGTCAGAGGGCATGAGGGGAGGCCAGGAGTCAGGATGTCAAAGAAAGATGACAGTGGCCTTTTCTAAGGGGTGGTGGTGTGCGCCAAGAGGAGAAAGGAGCAGGAGTCGATGATTCTGGGAGAGGGAGTTGTGAGTCCAAGTTGCTGAGTGAATAGTCAGGGCTCATTTGCAGAGACCCCCGTCCTAGTTGGCACAGACATGCTCGGAGATACGGGCCTCAGACTGCACGGATCTGTGTATGGCAGATCTGTGGAGGAGAGCCGCCGCTAGAAGGAGGCATTCTATCCTGACTATCCTCACAGGCTGGCCCCTGAACAGGGCTCAGAACACAGCAAACCTTCAAAAACATCTCTCAAATGGGACAGGCCATGAGCTTAGTAGTTAGCTCCATGGGAAGCTGGCTCTGAGGAAGGCAACAGGAAAAAACAGGCTGATGAACAAATGATGCTAAAATTAGGGAATTATTCTAAACCTAAATTAGGGGCCTGAAGGAACAAAACAGCTCACAGCTGCTTCCAGGACATTTTCTACACTTGTGTCCTTCCGTGGATGTCTGGGAATGCCGCTGGCTGAGGGTGCAGCATTTCCAGCCCCCAATCTGGGTAGGGTGAGGCACAGACACGCTATAGGAAGCTGCCTGCAAAGGAGGAGGGCCTTCCAGCTCCTGGAGCAGGTGAGATGGTGTGAACATTCCTCAGGTCCAGGGAAAAACCTACATCTGCCATGGGGACTCTGCTTGCCCAATAAATGGCCTCAAATAGTTCTAGGGGGAAAGACAAGGAGCCAGAGCAGGCCCTGGATGGTGTGGCTCAGTTGGTTGGAGCGTTGTCCATACATCAAAAGGTTGTGGGTTTAATTCCCGGTCAGGGCACATACCCAGGTTGTGGGTTCAATCCCTGGTCAGGGCACTTATGGGAGACAACTGATTGATGTTTCTCTCTCACATCAATGTTTCTCTCTCTCTCTCCCTCTCCATTCTTCTCTCTCTAAAAACAATAAAAACATATCCTCTAGTGAGGATTAAAAGAAGAAAATAGGGCATGGAGAGCAGGAGCTGCTGTCTGCTGGCTGAGAGTCGAGGGTGAGGCCACTTCCTCCATCTGTCCAGCAGGCTGGGGAGCCAATCTCAGACCCAGACAGAGGTATAAGCACCTTGTAACTCTTCAGCCTTGGACCAGCCAAAACAGACTCACAGTGTCCCCCACAGGCCCAGTGTGGCCTTAGGCACCTACTGAATACTGGACCATTGAGTTGTGTCAATGAGTGGGAGGCCGGCAGACACAGGAGAGGGAAGAGACGAGTCGGGTTCCCTGTCAGCTTCCGAGAGGTGAAGCCTCACTTGAGGTCCTGTTCTATACACCAAGAACCTGGTGTCTGTCACTGAGCCTGATGAGTGAGGAAAGCCCCTGGATGTAGAGAGGCAGTGAGCAATGGGCTGAGATGCTGTGTAGAAACAGGCCCTCCTCCCAGGGCAACAAGACTCCAGCCTCTGAATAAAATAGGGCCGTGGGAGTCCTTACAGTCCTAATAAATGAACCAGCCTCCTTGGGGGAGAAGAAAAAGCTATGCACAGTAGAGAGCCAATGCAAAGTAGCGAGGGAATGATGGAGTCAGAAAGTCATCGTGGATGGGGAGAAGTTAAGAAGGAACAGGACACAGACCCAGGCCAGTGTATCTCCTACGAGTCAATGACTAACTACGAGCCGGGCCTCCTGATAGGATGCACCAGGTGACACAGGGCCTCTGAGATTCCTGACAGAACACATGGCCCAAACATGCCCAGCAGAACAGCTGACACACCCAAACTGGGGGATGTCCACAAAAACTGGCTTGTATGCTTCAAAAATGCCAAGGTCACAAAACAGGTAAAGATTAAGGAGACGACAGAGAAATAAGGGACCGTGTGGCTCTGGATTGTGTGCCAGCCCAGGGAAAAAAACCAACAGCCATAAAGAATGTTATTGGGACAACTGCCAAAATTTAAATATGGACTGTGGATTAGTAGTACTATTGCATCAGTGTTGAGTGTCCTGACTTTGGTAACTGTAGGAGATTATATAAATGTCCTTGCTTTTAGGAACTACATGAAAATATTTACATGGTGCAGGGGAAAATATGTACATGGAGAGAGACAAGGAGACAGAATGAAGGACTGTGCTCAGCAAATGGGACAAAACCAGTGATTCCAGGTTAGGGGACATGGGAGGTCCTTGTTCTAGTCTCGTAATTTTTCTGTAAGTTCAAAACTAGATCAAAATAAAACGTTTCAAATACACTCCACACGGTCCCAGAACCTGCCCCTGGTATCCTTTAACAGAGGGCCCCTGGACCCCTGGAGCCACCAGGGAGGCCATCTTCCTGCAGGTCCTGCCTGCCCTGGCCCACAGGTAGGGAGAGCCAGGCTGTTCTGCTCCAAGGTCAGATGCAAAATCACACAGCGCCTTGTACACACCTAGCTCATGTCCGTT